CAGATGATGGGGACTCACGGAATGGAGTGCAGAGAAACCCTGGAAGGGCTCTCAGGAAGATGTGACATTGATCTCCAGGACATCTCACCAGGCTAGCTATCTCTCTCCCATTTGGGTCCTGTGCTGCTCCATGCTGCTGATGGCCATCCCCCCTGCTGTCCTTGCCCCTGCTCCTGCCAGACAGGGTGGGGATGCTGCTCCCCAGCCTGGGGGAGCAGAGGGTTTGGGCCGTGCTCAGGCAGAGCAGAGCATGTTTGTTTGGTTTCCTTGGTTACTGCACTGCCTGCTCCAGTAATCACATTTTCCTTGTGCCGGCTGGGCCAAGAGCAGTAGACAAGAAATATGGAATGGTTGAGGTCAAACACCAGCCTGGGAACAGCTGGAGCCACCAGCCACAGCCCCTCTGTGCCACTTGGGTCCTTGCTGTCGTGGGTACCCAACCCAAAAGGGAGTTATCAGGCTCAGGGATGAGCAACCAGCTCCTTCAGCAACAGCCCCAGGGCTCCCACCAGTCCCTCCAGTGAGCCAGGGACACAGACACCGGCGGTGAACTGTGTGAGGAATTACAGGAATGAAAATGTTTGTGCAGGCAGAAGCCAAGCTGGCTGTGAGCAGGGCTGTGAGCGGGAGGCTGCGAGCGTGGGTGCAGCTGTATTTATAGTGACGCTGGGGGTGTGCACGGGCAGGGGTGACAGGGTTGCGAGCGGCTTTTGTTCCTTATGCATCCCTCAGCCCAGAAATCCCGGAGCACTTACGCCAGTTCCCGTCCCCTGGAGCTCCCCTGCTCGTTAGCATTCACAGACAGCCCTCGCTTTGGCAGCGGGGAAACCGAAACCTGGACGTGCGCAAACCGCGGCTGATCTCACCCCAGCACCCCTTCCCCCGGTAATTCCCTGCAGCAGTCATGAGCGTGTGAGCTCCCCGTTCCTGGCTGCCTGGCACCTCAGGAGCAGGATCTGAGTGAGGCTCCAGCACAGCAAGTGCTGGTGACGCTGCCATGCCAGTGTGTAACATCTACCCATGGTGACTAAATCAGTGTGCGCTGGTAAAGCAGAGCAGGGGGGGCTCAGCAGCCCCAGCACAGCCACACGGTGTGAGCTGGCACAGGCAGAAGGGCTCAGACAGCCCTGCCTGGCCTGACTCTCCTCACCTTCCTCCCCAGCCGACATGGAGCAGGCGCAGCGGAGCCTGGACGCGGAGCAGATGCAGCAGCAGCAGCTCAAACTGCGGGACCGGCAGAAGTTCTTTGAGGAGGTTTTCCAGCATGACGTGGATTTCTTCTTCCCCATGTCCCACCTGCAGATAGAGCATAGGAGGCGTAAGTGCTGCGGGCAGCAGCAGGGGCTGGGGTGTCTCAGGGGACACAGGGGTTACAGATGGGTGGGCCATCCCCAGTGTAAAGGCAGTGGGGACACACGTCCTGCACCGAGACGGGACCACACAGGCTGTGTGTGGGTGTGCTGTGCATTACTCACACCACTTCACAGAAGGCACTTGCACATGGGTACCCAGGCTGGCGCCCTGTAGAGTCACTGGCTTCAGGCAGGCTCCTCCAGGCAGCATTTGGAGCAGGGACAAGGACTGCAGTGAGACAGCAGGGGCTTCCAGAGGGATGTTTTAAGGCAACATGATTTTCCTGGGGGTCCCTTACCAGCAAGCAGAATTCAGTTCCCTGTGGCAAGGCTGGTCTCCCTGCTCAGGGTCCTGCCTGCACAGTGCTGATGGTGCCCTTTGCCTCGCACTAGCACCCACCTTTTCACTGGTCTCTGTCCCTTGCAGCTCCCTTAGGCAGCATTTCTTCCATGGAGGTGAATGTGGACATGCTGGAGCAGATGGACATGATGGACCTGTCAGACCAGGACACAGTGGATGTGTTTCTGGGCTGTGGGACAGAGGAGAGTGGCATTGTTGGATCCCTGCCAGGTATGTGCAGTCCTGAGGCTTTTGTGGGCCAGGCTGGAAGCCCTTCCTGCCCCCAGTGCCCACACTGGCTGGTTCCTCAGCCCTGGCCACCCTGCAGGCAGATCCACACCCACCCACAGGCAGACACTTGGTGCTGGGGTCTGTGAGGTTGGAGGGATCTCACCCTGGGCTGCTCCACATCAGTATCCAGCTCCACAGCCCAGACATACAGACCCCTGTAAATACCTCGTGCTGCAGAAGACAGGAGAGCCCAGGCATCTCCCTCGTCTGGGGGTCAAATTCCCTTCTCCTGCAGCACCTCTGGAGCAGCCAGTGTCTAGTGACGAGTCCCCAGGTCCCCACTGTGCTGCAGAGCTCATCGTGCTGAGCGGGAGGGCTGCAGGACCCCCACACCTCCCAGCCAGACCCCAGGAGAGCAGGGAGAGCCCAGGGTGGCCGGACCTTCCTCCACACACACACTGGAGTGAGGTCAGGCCAGACACCTCCTGTCCTGCTGCAGCAACAGCCTCGCACAGCACGCTCTGAGCTGCGCTCCCTGCCATGGACACAGCTCCACTGCCAAACCAGGGAAGGAATGTGCAGCAACTGCCCGAGCCAGGCCGGGCGTGTGGGGTGGGGAACGGCCACAGCGGCCGCATGGGAGCAGCCAGGAATGCCGAGGAGTAAGACACGAGCCTTGGAGGGGCTGGCCATGAAGTCTAGGGAGCAATAAACTTCCAGAAGGCTTTTTATTTCTCACACTGCTCTCTCCCCCAGGGGCAGATGCCAGCCAGTGCCCAGAGGAGATCACCCTGCAAGTGCCCACCGCAGCCGAGAGCAAGTCTCGCATTTCCTCCACGTCCTCGGCCTCCACGGACCTGAACAGCCTGGACACCAGCGAGGAGGGGGCCGAGACCCCCGTGGTGCAGTCGGATGAGGAGGACCTGCAGGAGGACAGTTCCAAAGAGCAGGTGGCAAGAAGCTAGCAGGCAGCTGTGCCTGGCTCCCAGCCTCCTCCGTATGGACTTGCCAGCCCAGAGGAAGGAAAGCTGCTGGTGCTCAGCAAACCCCTTCCTGGACTGCTGCCCTGCCAGAGGGGAGAGATGGTTTTTCCCCTCCTCTCCCTCCACGGGTTCTCCTGGCAGACAAAAGGAGAAGGAAAGGGGTATTGTAAGCTCCCAAACTTAACTCTTCAGGCTTTGCTGCTAACACTCCTTGCTTCAGCCCCCTCAAAAACGCTGAGCATCCCACAGCCCCACCATTCCCACAAAGCCATCCCTTGGGACCCCAGTTCCCCCTGTTCTACTGACAAAGGTTGTGCCCAGACAAGCACTTAACAACAGAGGAATAACACTGCACCCAGAGAAATAACACTGATCTAACCAACAGTGGGTGTGTGTGTCTTTGGGAGAGGACAGCGCTGGGTGAGGGTTCGGAGGCGATTGAGGGGGGAGAGCAGAGCAAAGCCAGCGTGCCAAGGGTGCCACCCAGGAGCAAACAAAACCTCCTGTTGCACAGCCCAGGGATGGTTCCTGAGCAGACAGCACAGACCCTGGCACAGAAGGGCTGTAAGTGCAGCAGGTGACCCTGCTGAGCTACCTGGGCTGTGCTCCAAGAGGGAGGGAGCCAGCACAGACACAGCCTGAGCAGGCTGGGGGGCAGTGACCTGGAACCAGGAGCACACTGGGATCTCCCACACAGGTGGGATGAGTGGAGAGCAGCAGCACACACAGCACAGACACTGCTGCTGCCCCAGCACAGCGGCCCAGAGGAGAGACAGAAGAACATCAATATGAAGCCACTTTGCAGCTTGGACCCTGCAGGCCAGGCCAAGAGGGGTTGGGAACAAAGCTGGCACTGCCACTGTCAGTGGCTGCAGCCCAGGAAAGGGCTGTCCCTGCTCCAGCTGCGTCAGCACAGCCGTGGTCACCGGGAAAGGAGCCTGGGAGATCAGCAACAGGAGCTGGGGAATGCTCCTCATCCTGCTGCTTCCCAGGGGGTGTGCAGACACCCCTGCACTCTGTCAGCCAGCCCTCCTGACACAGCTGCAGTGCCTCCTGTCCATATGGCAGCACCAACATCTGCATGTGCTGCCCTCAGCTGTTTCTGAGATGGGAAACTGACTGAGAAGAGAACAAGGGCCAGGCCTCAGGGCTTCTCAGGCCCTGGCACAGGGACTTCCCAAAGCAGGCACAGGGTAATTAATAGCTCTGGCTTACCTTCCAAAATGCATCTAAACCTTTATTACTTACCAGTATCTTGTTTCAAGGAGTTGCTCAGTTTGAAAAAAAAGAAAGAAAGAAAAAAAACCCAACAAGCAACATTGTGTAAAGAAATCTGACTTTTTCTTTTTTCTTCTGGGCATGCAACCTTTTTGGTTTCATGTGATGCCCCTAATAAGCAAGAGGGGAAAAAAATGCTATAAAATAAGCAAGAGAGGAAAATAAAGAGCTATAAAGGAACTCCTTATCCTTTACAAACACTGTCAGTTGGATTTGATTCCAAGTTAATGTTGCATGAAGACCTTAGATCTGAGCAAGTAAGTGGGTAATTGAACAGGGGTAGCACCTGGTAAGTGACAACCCCACGTTGTCACAATTTTTACGCTTATTTCCTACCGGAGCAAACCATCACTTCACTCCTCTCAAATCATCCCGGGGAACGGCCAGCCAGAGGGGGGGTCGGTGTGAGCTCCACGGGATGTCAGTGCCTGGCTGTGGCTGCCCCTTGCCTCCCCCGGCTGGCAGGGGTGCTCCCCTGGCTCTGCACCCGCAGCCAGGCGCTGACCCCGGAGAGGAGCCGAACCCGAGCAGGGGAGCCGGGACAGGCACAACCCCGCAGGGAACCCCCAGGGAGGGAGCCCCGGGAGCCCCCGCACCGCCCCAGCCAGCAGAGAGGGACCCGCTGCTCCTCGTGGTCCCCTCCGTGCAGCAGCTCCGCAGCGGGGCCCCGGCCGCGGCCCAGAGGCCCGGAGAAGGGAAGGCAGGGAGGGAGGAAGGATGGAAGTAAGGAGGGATGGCTGGGTGATCTCCATGCCCACGGCCCCGGAAGCGGCGCCATTGAGGGGCGGAAGCGGAAGCGGCGCGGGCGGGCCCGGGATGGCGGCGGTGCCGCTGCTGGTGCTGCTGCTGCTGGCGGTGTGTGCCGGCCCCGGGCGGGCGGGCGCGGCGCGGGAGCGGCGGGACGCGCTGCGGGAGGAGCTGCTGCTGAGCCCGCTGCCCACCGGGGACGTGGCCGCCACCTTCCAGTTCCGCACGCGCTGGGACGCGGACCTGCAGCGGGGCGCAGGTAGGGCGGGCCGCGCCGGGGCGGACCGGGCCGCTATTGGCTGGCCCGGGGGGCGGACCGGGCTGTTATTGGCTGGCGCCGGGGGCGGACCGGGCCGCTATTGGCTGTGGCGCGGCGGGGACACCGCGGTGTGACGGAATGCACTGAGATGTGACGTCAGAGGGATGAGTGACGTCAGAGGCGAGCAGGGTAGGGCAGCGCAGGGCTGCGGTGACGTCACACCCGCAGGGTCTCGGGGTGGGGGTGCGAGCGGGGTGCGTGTGATGGTGAAGGCAGGGGCAGTGTCGGGGGGGATGAGGTCATGCTGGGCCAGGCCCTGGGGTGACGTCAGGGGCAGGGATGGGGGTGAGGCGGGCAGGGATGGGGGGGAGGCGGGCAGGGACTAACGGGTTCCACACAGTCTCTCACTACAGGCTGTTCCCGAAGGCGCTGGGGCGGTTGGTGGCGGCGCTGGGCGTGCGGGAGCTGCACCTCGCCCTCACCCAGGGCTTCTGGCGCACGCGGTTCTGGGGGCAGCCCCCCCTGCAGGCACCCGCCGGCGCCGAGCTCTGGGTCTGGTTCCAGCCCACGGTCACCGAGTAGGTACCCTGGCCATGGATGTGTCCCCCTGGTCCCTCCATGGCCGCTGATCCCAGGAGCTGTGGCTCATCTCTCAGGAGGCAACTGCCGTGTGTGAATTGATCTCCTGGGTGGAAAATGTCTGCTGGAATAAAGGGCCTGGAATGCCAGGAGTAGCTCTAAAAAAAAGCAGAACATATCCCCACTCAGTACACAGGGCAGGATGTGGTGCTGAGGGCACAAAAGTAATTCCCGTGTGGGCTCTGTGATGACAAACCCCTCACTGCACTAATAGGATGGACCTCTCATCCATGACTCACTTCCTTTCACTCCCATCCAGTACCTGTCACCATCTCCCTTAGCACTCAGCCCCTGTTCAAGCTGCAGCAGCTCTGTGGGGCCTCACAGAGCTCTCTCTTCCCTTCCTGTTTACTGAATGTTACTGACTTAATGTTTGTTGTTCCAAGGATTTGAGTTGCTCAGCAATCTCTGGTATCTGTTCTCACACAGTGTTGACAAAGCCTGGAAAGAACTGAGCAACATCCTCTCGGGAATATTCTGTGCTTCTCTCAACTTCATTGACTCGACCAACACAGTTACTCCAACAGCATCCTTCAAACCCCTGGGCCTGGCCAATGGTGAGCCCTGCTCTGCCCTCTCGCTTCAGTTCTGCCCGGTGCCACTGCCAGCATTCTGGGGCAGGTCCTGCAGTGACTGGGTCTGGGTACAACACGGTCTGTTAACCTCCTTCTCCTGGAAGTGTTTCCTCTCCCTACAAACAGGGCTTGCATTGGAACAGAGGAAACCCACAAGCAGTTCATGGCAGATGCTCCCAGGCCCTTGTCTGTCTCTCTGAAAAATTTTATGAAACAGTGATAACTACAAGATTAAAGGCACTCATGAAAAAAAAAAAATCTGCTAGGATACACCCTTACTGTTCCCAAATCACTCTGAACAGAGAGGGAGGTGTTCCAGATGGAGCTCACGGCATTTGGGGCACGTTGAGAGGGTGGTGGGTGTGGGGTGGAACAGCCTGTGGCAGTGCCAGGCTGGTGACCCTGCAGTCCCTCCCAGGGACAGACCACCACCTGCTGCGATACGCCGTGCTGCCCCGGGAAGTCGTCTGCACTGAGAACCTCACGCCTTGGAAGAAGCTGCTCCCCTGTGGCTCAAAGGTAACAGCAAGCCCTGCTGCCTCCCTGGGTCACTCCCAGTGGAACATGCAGTGGGAAGTCCCAGCTGGGCCTTCCTCCCGTGGGGGCAGAGGGCAGGGCAGGGGCTGAGTCCCTCCTTTGCTCCCTGCAGGCCGGGCTCGCTGTGCTACTGAAGGCCGAGCGCTTGTTCCACAGCAGCTACCACTCACAGGCAGTGCACATCCGCCCCATCTGCAGGGTAAGCTCCGGGCTCAGCTCCCTCCCTGAACATCCCAGCAGAAAATCCCCACTGGAAGGTGACTCACCGGTTTGCCCAGCTCTGCTGCTGTGGGTTCACTGTGTCTAACACAGCTGTCCTGCTGCTCTGCTCTCATCCCAGTGGTGGTCCTGCTGGAGTTCCAGCTCCGTCCTGGTGTTCTGCCCCTGCAGAAGGTGTGATCAGAGCCACTTGTCTCTTTGTTTTTCAGGATGCCTCCTGCCTGGCTGTGTCCTGGGAGCTCAGACAGACCCTCACTGTGGTCTTTGATGTCTTTTCCAGTGGTCAAGGAAAGAAAGGTAAGCCTGGGAGTTGTGCACTGTGGTGCTGGAGTGCCCCCAACCTGCAGCACTTCACTGCCTGACACGGACTTTGCTTCCCACAGACTGGTCCCTCTTCAAGATGTTCTCCCGCACACTGACTGACGCCTGTCCTCTGGCATCGCAGAGCAAAGTCTATGTTGACATCTCCCCCAAGAACAAGGTAAGCTCACGGATCAGAGAGCGCTCCCTGCTCCCTCATGTGGCCCTGAAACATCCCCACCCCCTGCACGGCCCAGCCCCCGGGAGCCCTGCTGGTCTAACCATGGGAGGTGGTTCCCTTGCCCTGCCCAGGGCAGTGGGGATGAGGGGGATGAGCCTGCTGGTGTTGGTGAGAGACTGAGCTGCCACCTCAGGTGGGTGGGAAAGCTCGGGGCCAGCTGGAGGGGCTTTGCCCAGCACTGCCAGTTACTTCAAGAGGCACTTTTCCTTTCATGGCCCATTTGCTTTCTCAGGAAAAGGAGCTGCTGGAAGTGACCCCCCCTCCGACATCCGTACACGAAGCTGTTGTCCAAGGAGACAAGAAAACCTACGCTGTCTATGACCTGCTGAGCCCCTCGCTCTTCAACACATCCCGCAGCCTCAACGTGCAGCTCAAGTGGAAGCGGCCCCAAGACAGCTGTGAGTGAGCAGAACTTCACTCCATCTGCACCTCTGGCCAGGGCTCCAGGCCTAAAACTCCCCTGGCCCGGCCCCCACTGCTGTCCCTGTGTGCCCCGCAGCGGAGATGCCCATCCCCGTGCTCCATGCCCAGCGGTACGTGGGTGGCTACGGCCTGCAGACCGGCGAGATCTGCACCCTCATCTACAACACCCACCCCTACCGGGCCTTCCCCGTCATCCTGCTGGAGACTGTGCCCTGGTACCTGCGGCTCTACGTGCACACCCTCACTATCATCACCAAGGGCAAGGAGAACAAGCCAAGTAAGTGAACCCTCCTGGGAGCACGTGCCACCCGATTTCCTTGGCACGAGCAGCTCATTCCAGAGAGGGTTTAGCCACTCCCTTGGGCCCCAGTGATCACTGTGAAATAAAACATCTTAGGATGTTTTCCTACCCGTGAGTTCAGTGCTCACAGCAGATGAGACTATTAAGTCTGTTTTATAAGAGGCACAAGAATGTTGTTTCATAATCCAACAAAGGTCTAAACCAAACTGAATTAATTTTTATAGAACAGGAGGCTCAATTGAAAGCTGATGACTCGAGTTTTATTTTGCATTTGTAACTTTTCTTATGAACACCTGACTTTTATGGGTCATCAGCTCTAAAGACCAGCTGGATTTAGCTTTAACCCATGCTTTTTGCTATGGGTACATCTTCCCTTGCCCAGCAAACCTCTCTCAGGACAGTGGAAGCAGGAGCCCCCACCCCACGGGAGATGCCCTGGCAATGTGAGATTGTGCAAGGTCCCCCTGGTGCCACTGACAGCATCTCTTTGGGGTCAGGTTACATCCACTACCAGCCAGCCCAGGACCGGAGGCGGCCTCACCTCTTGGAAATGCTGATCCAGCTGCCAGCCAACTCCGTCACCAAGATCACAATCCAGTTTGAGAGGGCCTTGCTGAAGTGGACAGAGTACCCACCTGACCCTAATCATGGCTTTTATGTCAGGTAGTGACATTCCTCAGCTCCTCAGTCCCCCCTGGGCCTCGTGCAGGACTTGCTGCCCAGGTCTCTGGGGCTGTCTTGGCTGGCAGGACTGACACTGGCATGTTTTTGTCTCCTCAGTTCATCCGTGCTCAGTGCCCTGGTGCCCAGTGTGATTGCCATGAAGGACGTGGATGTGGAGCAGAGCCCTCTCTTCACCTCGCTGTGCGTGTGCCTGTGCTGGGGAGGGGGGCTGTACTGCAGCCTGGGGGCTGTGGCCACTGTCACCCCTCTGGTGAGCACAGAGCAGTGGTCCTTTGCAGGCTGACACTGCCCTTCCTGCTTCCACTCCCCAGGTTTCCTTCCGCCGATGGCTCCAGCTATTTCGTGCGCCTGTACACGGAGCCGCTGCTGGTGAACCTGCCGACCCCAGACTTCAGCATGCCCTACAACGTCATCTGCCTCACCTGCACCGTGGTGGCCGTGTGCTACGGCTCCTTCTACAACCTGCTGACCAGAACGTTCCACGTGGAGGAGCCGAGCCGGGGCGGGCTGGCCAAGCGGCTGGCCAACGTCATCCGCAAGCTCAGGGGGGTGCCCCTGCTCTGAGAGCAACCAGGGCAGCCAGCACTGGCTGTGGGGGTCCCTGGGAGCACAGCACCAGTGCCACTTGTCCTGGCTGGAAGCATCCTGCTCCGTTTTGCTGCCTGGATCTCTCTGGGATCCAACGAGGTGAGAGGGCGCGTCCATCCTGAAGATGGAAAATGGCTCTAAGCCCATTGACTACTGAACTGCACTGCTATGGGATTGGGAAAGGTACAAGACTTCTGTTTGGGAGAGGTGTAACGTGCTGGGAATGATGCTGGAAGTAAACTTGAGTGTTTTGTACATTTGTGCTGCTCCTGGTTGGTTTTACTCTCTCAGCCCCACAGGCAGAGTTGACCCTCTAAGACTGAGCTGCCAGGTCTCTACCACACTGACTGGGTGAGCTGGGAAGAGGTGCAGGCATGACCAGGGGAAGGGGTTTGATCTCCTGCAAAGAGAAGGATTCATCTGCTCTGACACCTCCCCTTCCACAGCTGCTGTGTTTCACAGCTCCCTCCTGTCACACTTGGCCACATTTGAGCCAATGTGTAAAGTTAATTGCTGGCCACAGTGTGTGTCTGTCCCCTCAGCCACGGCAAGGATTTATTTTCTTTCTCAGGACCTTCTATTTGCAACATTTTGAAACCACTCCACCTGCTTCCCCCTTTGCTGCAGCACAAGATCCTCCTCAGTGTAATTTCTGCATGCCTGCCCAGGGGCTCCCCTGCACCCACAGTGTCCCCAAAGCTTTGGGAGCCTCAGCTCAGCAGACCCCAAGTGCTGAGCTGTGGCCAGCCCTGGGCTGGGAATGCAGGAACACCAGCACTGCTCTGCTCTGCAGTTATTTTCACAAAATACAAATTACCACCTTCTGGTTCACACAGAGCAGTGGGAGGAGGCTGGTGGTGCTGCTTGGCCTCTGACAGTCTTGTTTTCAGGGATCAGAACAGAAACTGCTCACAAGCAGCTCAACAAAGCACAGGGAAGCCACTAGAAGAAATATTCCCAGAACCAAAGCAGAACACAGCCAGAGGTCCTTTAGAAGCTTCCACTTTGAACAGAAAAACCATAAAAACCCCCTTGCTTCCTGTCCTGCACTGAACAATCTGTTCCCACTGGCCTGGGATTACCTTTCCTTCCCTGCCAGAGATGCCCTTTCCTCTGCAGCTCCTTACAGATCCACTCCACTGGATGGCTCCACGCAGCCTGCAGAGTTGCTGAAATACATGAGTTTTGGGCGATCCCTCTCTGTTCCTGCTTGCTCAAAAGGATGCCACGGGGCTGGGAGCTCAGGCTGCTTCCAGCCACAGCTCTGCCAACCAGGCTTCAAGTGCACAGCAGAATTTCTTCATGGAAAGCTGCAACCACAACCAAACAAAACCTCAGCGAGCACGCAGCTCCCACAGCAGGGCAGGGGGAAGCAGCCAGGAGGGTCCACATGGCAGTTCACAAAGGGATTTGGAGACCTCACATTGTTTCAGGTCGGGTCCAGTATAAACCCTGCAGAGTGCAACCAGCAGCATGTGGTGGAGCAGCTGGGAGCAGCCCAGCTCCGGGGTGTGGGCTGCCTGCTGCAGGTGTAAGTTGGGATCCAGAAAGGGTCCTGAGTGCCAGGCTCATGGACTGCCGTGGGAATCATCAGCCAAAGGCTTTAGGGCCATTCCCACGCAGTGCCATAAAGCAGGAATTTAAACACCCCATAAAGAGGTCAGCCCAGAATAATGGCAGAGCAGGGGGAAACTGGATCCTCACCTGCTGGGCCATCGGGGGAACAGGTCTTATCACACCCATCAAATGCACGGGCCAGCCAAGCGCAAAACCCTGCGGGAAATGGTGGCTCTGCAAACGTGGCTGGCTGAGTTTTAAATGGCTGTGAAAATGCCAAGCTTAAAATCTTAGTCTTTTTTTGTTGGTTTTTTTTTTTTTTCCCCCTGGACTATTTTGTTCCTTTCCCTACATGGCCGACTTGGGTTGCTCAGTACAGGAGCTGGAGCTCCCAGAGGGCAGGGCTGTGAGGATGGATGTGATGGATGGGATGATGAAGGGACTGGGGCATCTCTCTTGTGAGGAAAAGCTGAGGGAGCTGGGGCTGTTCAGCCTGGAGGAGCGATGACTGAGAGGGGACCTCATCTGTGCGCAGCTGCAGGGAGGGTGTCCAGAGGATGGAGCCAGGCATTCCTGGACCCACCAGGACCATCCAGTCCAACTCCTGGCCTTGCACAGACACCCCAACAATCCCACACTGTCCCTCAGAGCATTGTCCAAACCCTCCTGGAGCTCTGTCAGCCTTGGGGTCGTGACCACTGCCCTGGGGAGCCTGTTCAGTGCCAACCACCCTCTGGGGCAAGAACCTTTTTCTGAGATCGAACTTAAACCTGCCCTGACACAGCTCCGGGCCATTCCCTGGGGTCGTGCGACCGATCCCCACAGAGCAGATCCGTGCCGGCCCCCCGAGAGTGCTGCCGAGCCGAGCGGACCAAGCGCCCTCCGCCGCCCTTCGCATGGCTCGCTGCAAGCCCCGATCGCACAAAAACCCTTTCAGAAGAGAAAAAAAACCCCACACAGGCACCCCCAGAGCAAGGAAAGAAGAAACCCCCCCACAGGCAGCCCGGGCAGCGCCGCCCGCCTGACCCCGCGCAGCCGCAGTGCCGCTCGGCCCGCGCAGGCGCACCCGGCCCGGCCCCGCCGCGCGGGGCTCCCGGACCCGCCCGAGGCTCCGCTCGGTGCGCTCCGAGCGCTCCCCCCGCTCCCCCGGCAGCGGCTCCGGACACAGCCGGCCGGGCCGCGTCCCCGGCCCTCGGGCGGCCTCTCCCTCCCTGCTCGGGCGGCCCCGGGATGGCGGCGTGAGGCGGCGGCTCCGCGCCGTGAGTACGGGCCGGGGGGGCGGGCAGGACCGCGCCGTGAGGACGGGCCGGGGGTAGGGGGGCAGATTCCCGGCCGCGGGGGGCGGAGGAGGCTCCACCGGCCGCGGGGTTGTTGCCGGCGCGGACAGCACGGCCGTGCCCGCGCCCTCCCCGCTGTCCTCCGCCCGCGGGCGGTTACGGCTCCGGGCTCTCGTTAGCGCAGGGCCCGTCCCTGCCCAGGGCACACAGCGCTCGGACGGCGGGGGCAGCGGCTGGGCTGGGGTGGTCCTGGCGGGTCCCTGCTAACGCAGGATGTCCCGCGATGTTCTTTGGGCACAGCGCTGCAGACCCCGCACAGTTTCAGGGCGGGCTTAGAGCCTGTTCTGTCATGCGAACACTGCTCATGACATCCCGAACGTGCAAGCGCAAGAGAAGAGGGGAAAAACAAGCTCTTAAATGCAGTCCCACAGCACACGGAACTCTGCCATATTTCCCTGTATTGAAACTACAATTTACAAATTTACAAATTACAATGGATCTTGCACATTCTGTCATAGTTCAGTAACTTTTGTCTTTCCAGCCTATATGTGATAACCTCTCATAACCCCTTGCCCAGACTGCATTTTTTGCCTCCCTACCTGAGACACAGAAAACTGGCCTTTATCGGACGAAATTCAGACCTCTGAAGCCTTTTGAAGGCACGAAAGTTAGAGAAGGGATCCAAATGGAAACTTTTTTTTTTAAGGGAAATAGGCCTGGAATTCCTCGCTTCTGGATGTTAAACAAGGGCAAAAGGCAGGAATGAGGACCGTGACAATTAATAAATTAGTACAAATGAAACTAGCAGTAATTCAGATGACAGCTATAAATGTTGACATCCCACCACAGAGCTGGCTGACTTAAGCTTCTGCTTCTGTGATGCCTGATGAATTCCAGGCTCATTCCTAGTTCTCTTAAAAACAAGTAGTCTTAGTTTGGATCTCTTCTCTACCTTTTATAGAGAGAAACACACATCACACTGCTGCCTTCCTGCTCACAGGTAGAGGCTTATTCACCCTGGTGCTGTGAAAGCACTGCAGTCCAGATGGAATGGGCATTGCCTCTGGACACAGGCTCATCCACCCCCCTGGGTAACAGCCTTTGGAGGGCAGCTATGGAAGTGATGGAAAGAGTGGCTCAGCAGAGACCCTCACTTTTCACAGTGTGAGTTGCTTTGGCTTGCCCCTAGCTTGAGAAATCAAAGCACTCTGTAAGCCCGAGGCTTGGTTAGTCAAGGCTCTGTTGCTCTTTTGGAAACTGCTTGCAGTTATATTGCACCATTTCTGAGTCTGCATCAAGTGTTCAAGGAAGGCATGAACTTATCCAAGACCGGGGTAAGGCCTTTGCCAAAAATCTTAGACTCACTCTTTCCAGCTGAGTCATACCAGCAGATAAAGCTTTAAATAAAAATTGGAAAAATAGCGGCAAGGCTAAAAAAAGCCCTGAAGAAGAAGTTAATCCCTGATACTGCAAATAGGTCTGAAGGTTCGAACAGTCGTGGTTCTTGGGTGTACGACAGGGGGTTGGCATCTGGGACGCTGCTCTGCTGTTACTTTTCTTAGCTGAACTCCTCAGACCTGTCACTTGATAGCTCTTCACCTCTCTCTTGGTCCTGGTCCTCTGGGAGTTGTGTATTTTTTAGTGGCTGTTTTGGGTGCTCTGTGGTGCTTGAGTTGGGTTTGAACAGCACTGCCCACACACATCAGTTGGTGGCTGTGACAGGGGTTTGGGTTGAAACAGTTTTAAGAGACCTGTGCTACAGGTGAGCCTCATAGGTAAGAAACAGGGCAGGTACCTGAGGCTTACACTAAAGTTTATGTGCACTGTATAACCTGGCAGATCTTTATCCAACCAATGTATCTTTCCATTCCCAAGCAGAAACTTCAGCTTTTGGGAAAGGGGGAATGGCACCAGCACACCCCAATAAAAAGGTTACCTCAGTGTTCTATTGCAAACCTGTCAGCTGCCAGCCTGGGTGACTCTGTGGCATCTGCTGGGGAGGTTCCATGCAGACAGTACTGGCTTAAAGGCTGCCTTAGTAAGGTCTGAACAAGGCTTTCCTTTGAAGTGCTTAGAGAAAGCCAGCTGATTATTCTCCCCTGTCAGGCTAAATAGACTGTTAAGGAACTAAAACGTTCTTGAGAAAGGTACAGACTTGGTATTGGCATAGTGACGTGTGAAACCCGTGGTGTAGGAACACCTCTCGGCATCCTAACTGGTGAGTTAGCTTGTACAGTGTGGAAGAGCGGCTCTCCCGCCCCTCAGGTGGGTTTATCCATCTGAGATGGAACGTGCCTGATCGATTTGAAGGCAGTACAGACTTGCACTGTGCTACTCACTCTGCACAAACTGAAGGTTTGTGTCTGGCTGGGACAGGTGTGCCGCTGCCCTCTCACTGCAATTCCAAAGTCCTCCCTGCAAGCACACGCCAGTAGGACCAGCTGGTTTTGAGCAGTCTTGGGAAGGAAGATGACAGGAGGAAGGGCTGGGAACGCGATGGAAGCCAGTTAATAAGCGTGGGGGAAAGTATTGGTGTCTGACTAGTAGCGAGGTGCACGGGGAACCTCCCCAGGCTGCTCCTCTGCCTGCAGGAACTGGCAGGGAAGAGGCTCCGGCAGCACGTGCAGATCAGACGGAGCCGATGGCTGTGGGAAGAGCAGTGGGAGCATCACCAGCTCTGCTGCCGAGGGGTCTGACGGGAGGTCAAGTGGCTCCAAGAGCTGTGGAGGGCGAGAGGAGGCAGAGGTGGTGCTGGGGCGGTGGAAAGGAGCCCTCAGGTAAACATGAGTGGGCACCAAGTCAGATGATTTGAGGAGGAGGAGAGGCTTGAGGACAGCAGGACACGGGGCTGGCTGAGGAGGGAGGTGAGTCAGGCACGGGAGAACAAGAGCAACTGGTTGAGGAAAAGCAGGATGCAGTTGTGAAACCAGTGCTGTTGGGTGACAGGTGATTATTTGCTCTGGGACGGGGTAATCTTTGGCTTAGATCGTGAGGAGGGGACAAAGACAATAAGGCAGGAATCTTTCATGTGCAAGTTTCACCTTGCTTGAGAATCCAGGCAAAACTGAATATCTCTGTGGCTTCCAGAAGGATTTGCCTGTCCTGGGCACCAGGGAGAGAGTTCCCTGCTCAGTAAAGAGTTGATAACCAGAGACACTGTTTCTCTTTGATCAATAGTACGGAAAGAAAACTCAAGTCTCATTGGCAGCTGTACAAAGGAATCTCTAGTGAAGAGCACGTATCTTACTAGTGGCAAGTCCCTTGAGGGAGACAGAGCTACAGAAGTTTCCAACAGTGGGTAATTTATCTAGGATCAGCTGTGGGATACAGCAAAGGGTCCTCAGCCTTTAACTGGTGGATAGCAAAGGGGCATGTGAAAATACAAGCAAACTGACTACAGATACAAAGAGCAACTGTTCAAATATCTGCACTTGTCAGAAATCCAGGAGGTTTCCAGGTTGAAGGGCACTGGCATTGAAACTTCACAGTAAAAATAACCCCTATTAAATGGTTCTTTATTCTGCAGAGTGGCTGCGTTTATTGCTACAAGCAACTAGCTGTTGCAGGAAACACTAATATTTAAAAATGGATAACTCGTTCTGAGATGGCTTTGTGTTTGTAAGAAATGCTTAGGTAAAGCTTAGATGCTTAAAATCAACTTACTGTTCAGAGTGTTACTGTGAACAGCATTGTAGGAGCAAGGACACCAGACCTGAAATGAATTATAATTATTTTCAGACTGTGGTCAGTTGTAAAGTTTGGGGGCTACAGGCTCAGTAGTGACACATGACCCTTTTTAAGCTGAGAGATCTATGCCATTAGTTCTAAAAGATTCTAGAGCTTCTTTCCAGCTTTGTGCTACTCTGACAGAAACATTGTCTTAGGGGTTTTTTACCCATTTCTTTGCTCTAGAGACAGGAAGCCCAAAGCAATTGCCTGGAGGCACTGGAAACTAGAGCTTCAAGAAGAGGTGACACAGACTGCCACAGAAGTCCAGCTGATGGAACTTAAACCTGGATCTAGCAAAAACGTGACGTGGTGTTTATGCAGTGATTTTTAGTGCTCAGTATTTGGAGAACTTGGGAGGAAAAGATTGCAAGAAACTTCAGGGAGGGAACATTTCAGGAGGATTAAGGTGGCTGCAGATCAATGATTTGGTACAACTTTGTTGCATTCAGTGCAATCTGAACTAAAAAGTTGGGTGGTGGGGTTTAATTACCTTCACATTCAAATATTTGTTGTTAAATCTTTTCTGTCTATTCTTCCCCCTGGAAAAAAAGTTCTCCAATACTTGTGCAGTGTGTTTACTCCAGAAACATCTGAGCAATTCACAAAGGCCATGTTTTGGTATGAAACAAGTAATTGCTATTCCCAGCTTATAGATGGGCAACAAGGCTTGGGACTAGACTTGCCCTTAAAGATCCAAGTGAATGACCTGCATAAAACAGGACTAACATGGGGAGCTTTATTCCTGTGATTGGCTTTATCCCTAGTGCAGTGTAAAATAACCCTTTGGTTCCTGAGCTGCAGTTTGGTTTTACTACCTGAATTTGGGCTGCCCTTTCTCTACTGGAGAACACTCTCCTGCAGGAGCAGCAGCACAACCCACCTCTCCCAATAATCTGTTTGTGCTGCTGGGGATGTTGGCCTGTATTCTCTTAGTGCCATTAAAATAAAATAATTCCTGCTGCTCAGCACACGGCGATGGCAGAGTCCTTCCTGCTGCTGACAGCAGAGCCCAGTCTGACCTCAGTGTTCTTCTGGAAGAGAACCATGTGTGGTTTTCTCTTGGCTTTTCTGTGCAATCCCTCATTCTCCCTCCCTCTGCCAGGAAATCCCTTCTCCTGCCAACAGGAGCCAGTGGAATGTGCTGTTTGTTTACCTTCTCACTCCTTCATCCTACTAACCTTCCCACCCCCAAGCTGTAATCCTGACAGGCTGGGCTCAGCCCTTCATCCTTCTGACAGAGCAGTGCCCCACTGAGTATTTGCAGATAAAGGGATTGCTGCCAGGAGCCGTGCTGACCACACTCTCCTTGTGGGGGTGAGCCACGCCATCCTGCAAGGCTGTCCTCTTGCCTTTCTGTGCCCTGGCTGGCAGCTGCTTCCTGCAGTGTTGCTGCCTGTCATCATAAAGAGCTATAGGACAGCAGGGAAGAACATGCTTCCCAGGCTCTTCCCTTTTCCAGCATTCCCAGGCATGGTTTTTCCCCTTTTTGGGGCAATAAGGTAGAAGTACCCTCTTCTCATGGGTTTACTGCACAAACTGAAGGGTAACTTCCAGTTAGTCCCTCCCAACCATCTGTAATTCTTGAAGATGCTTGTGCTGCTTCAGAAGCAAAAACAAATCCACACTCCTAGTGTAGGGTAGGTGGTTGCTAAAGGAAGGAGCAGGTTTTCTGGACTCATAGTGTGCTGCCATCCCTGCTTAGGAAAGCCCTTAAAGCTCAGTTTTTCCACAGGGTTTTATAATAATCCAAGTGAGGAAATCCTGTGTTTACAGCACTTATGGAAATTGCCATTTTGAGCCTCTCCCCCCTTTGATCTGTTCACATACTTTGTCTTATCTGACTTTAGCTGTTTGGCAAGGATTATAGATCCTTAGGCATGGACTGTCCTCCCCTTTGTTTTGAAGCCTGGACTCTACCAGGGCTTTCCTGGGTGGCTACATCTGGAGTGCTGTGCTGTCCTGCTGGAAGACTTTATTGTCTGTGCCTGGGAGGAAGCAGTTTGTGTGCTGAACAATTCCTAGACATTCCTACACTAGTGCTTCCTTAGCATTTCTGTGGCACCCAGTACTTTAGCCCTCAGTTGCCTTTGTTTTTCCTCTCGCTCAGGTCTGGGGATGGCCGTGGATAAAAACGTGTAGGAAGGCTGTGGCAGCTTCTTTGCCTTTCATTTCCCCTTCTCCCTTTCTGTTCCTGCCCTGTGCTAAAAGGGTCTCACCATTGTTAGTCTGGGTAAAAGCCTCAGAAACAGAGCACACAGGATACACTTCTACACCAGCAGTAGCTAATCCTGCCCCCAGCTGAGTGGTTCAGAAAGCAGGAAACTTTCCACCAGCTCCAAGACACACCAGAATTTAGTACTGGGAGGTCAAACATCAGCCTATGATGCTTGGGAGTAAATGAAGCTGTATAAGAATGTCAGTTGATTTTTTTTTGCTGTATTTCTCTGACAGTCTGACATTTTGCCCTCCCTACAGACAGGCTGCCTGCTGGAGGAGTTGCTGGAGACTGTTCTGGAGCATATCCTGCTGCTGCCACGAGACCCCAGCCAGCCACAATGTACTGCCTGCAGTGGTTGCTCCCTGTCCTGCTCATACCCAAGCCCCTCAACCCGGCCTTGTGGTTCAGTCACTCAATGTTCATGGGATTCTACCTGCTCAGTTTTCTCCTGGAACGGAAACCTTGCACGATTTGTGCCTTGGTCTTCCTGGCAGCTCTATTCCTCATCTGCTACAGTTGCTGGGGGAACTGCTTCTTGTATCACTGCACAGGATCCCAGTTGCCGGAGTCAGCTCACGATCCCAGCATAGTGGGCACCTAGAAAACCACAACCTTCCAGTCTGCTGAGGGCTCTTGTGTGGCTTTTAAATAGGGGGTGGGGCTGGGGAGGAGGGGGGTGTTAGGTCTGGGACTGGAGTAAGGACAGCCTGTTTCCTGTAACTGTGCGTGGACTAGAGTGGCAAATTCCTCCCACTCTGCCTGTGAAATCCGACTCGTTTACTGTGTGAACTCTGGCAGCACCACCTGCTTTTTTAGAAGCAGAAGTCTTTTTTTCCTTCCCGTATCACCGGGAACAGACACCAGCCCTCCCAACGAGAACTGCTGAAGGCCTGAGCCACCTGCCCTGCCCAGCTGGTGGCACTGGTGGAGCTGTGTGTCCCTGGTCTGCATTAGGTGGTCTAACTCGGGGCTCTCAGCCCTCTGATCCTGCTCGAGCAGCTACAAGGTTCTCTTTGTGGGGAGCCACCTTCCCACCTTGCCGATCCAGGGCAAATGTGACAGCTCACAGATGTGCTTGGCCAAAAGCTGCTGAGGCCAGAGGCAGTTGAGCCACCTCCTCCTGCTCAGCCTGCCAAAGAGATGTGTGCACTGCCCAAGTGCTTTCTGAACTCCAAATGCTCCGAGATGATCCCAGCCTGAAAGCCTCAGTTATGCTGCTGCTTTTATAAAGCTCACAGGCAGCAGAGACTCTCTCTTCCCCTCCTCCTAGATGTCCAGGGTTTACCAAGGTATTGACTGTTGGGATGAAGAACTGGTGTGCTGCAAGACACGGGGTTTTAGAAGCCAATGTGAACTTCACCCTACAAAACCTGTGCTAGCCCAGAAGGCTGGGTGTGGGCAGGGCAGGAGAGGGTCCCGAGGTGGAGGCATGGCTTGAAGCACTAAGTGCTGCAGCCATTTTCAGTGATAGTGTTTTGGGGCTAGAGGTGACAGAAGGTGCTGGTGCTACTGACTGGAGAAGTGCTGAGGCTGGAAAGACACCTGGTATCCCCAGCTTCCCTGGCAGAAGGATGTCAAGCAGCCAAAGTGGTGGTGGGTCAGGCCCAAAGCCTGGGGCAGAGGTTGGTTTGTGAGAAGCCTTAGAGGTTGACACAAAACACTTGTCTCTAAACTTTAAAGGTTTCCCTCCCCTTTGCCCTGTGTTTGTCCTTCCTTCAATCTGCTGGAGAGCAGCAGAAGTGGCTGTTGCTGTCCTGAGGCAGTTCAAGCTATGAGGTTGTGAAACTTCCAGAGTATTGTTTGTTCATTGCACAGCTGTTCAAAATGTTTAATAAAGCTTTATAAACTTTGGTCTATGGCCTCCTGCCCAGCATGATGTGTTGGCTGCTCACTGTGGATGCCTTAGCCCAGCAATCATGTGTTTCTGCATTGTTCTGTTCCCAGCACAGTAACCCTGGAGCTGAGTCTCCAGCAAGAGGCAGAGCCTGTTTGCCCTGTAGCTCCCAGTACCGATTCTTCTCCCTGACTGGTTAACCTGACCATGGGCAGAGGGGGAACCAGACTGGCAAATCCTAAACAGGCTCATCTCACAGTCAGAAGCACCTCCTGCGTATCTCTGCACTTACGTGACAGATTCCCCCTTCTCTTCCTGCTTATGAAATAAAACCCCAGAGCTGTGCCCTGGAAGCCACTAATCCCTGGTGCCGACAGTGAAAGTGTCTGCCGGGTAAGCCCATCCCACGACCCCACGTAACCCCAGCTGTCCCCCTGCTCAGGACACAGACCTGCCTGCAGCCCAGCTGAGCTCTGTGCTGGGAGCCCTCCCCAGCCTGGGCTGTGCAGCTGGGGGGGAAGGACCGTCAGATCCAGCAGCACCCGAGAGTGGCACAGGCTGTGGGAGCTGCTGGAGCTGAAACCGCCTTGCTCTACCCTTGCCCTGAAGCCCAGGTCCAAGTTGGAAAGAGTTCAGGGCATATTTTAGTGTTTACATGATTAAAAAAAGCGTGTGCCACATCAGAAATAGATGTGACAGCTCTGTCACCTGTCAGGCCGAGGGAAATCCCAGTAGCTGTCACATCAGCATAAATAAATGGAGAGGGGAGGGCACTCACTGCAGGCCATGGCACAACTCCTGCCTGTTCTCTGAGTGGCTTTTAAGTTTCAGTGTACTTAAGCTAATGCAGTCAGTTCTGTCAAGAGTCCTTTTTTGTTGCTCACTAGCCAAGTTGCACTTCACAGCAATTTAAATAAATCCTAGCCATGAAGCCAGACAGCCCTTTGGATGAGAGCAAGCCCTGGCTTTCTTTGTACACGGGGTTCAAGACAAGGTGCAGCTGCAGGCCTTCCCTTCCCTTCCGTGAGACCCAGCTCAGAGCAAAAAGCACTTCAAAAGAGGGAGAGCTCTCGGTAGACTGATGGGGTTAGAACCCTCCCACCTCAAATGCAGAGAAGGAGCACTCTTTGATGTGCACAGAGCCCTCCACAGCACACTCTCTTACCCTCTTCAGGGCCCTGAAATACCATCTTCATTTTAAAGATAGAAAATTAAAGCAACTTCGTCATGGTCAGACAGAAAGCCTCGGGCAGAGTGAGGAACCCAACCAGGTCTCACATCCCATGCTAATGCCTGGCTTGTCCTCTATAAAGAGATTGAAAAACCAGCCTGTGACTGCAGAACAGGTCAGACCCGATGGCTTCAGAACAGCATCATCACAGCCTCCCTGCCCGTGCACCGCAGATTGGGCTGAGCAGACACAGCCTGTGCTCCCGGCCAGGCGTGTGCTGGCTGCACCCAGGGACGCTCGAGGGTTTGGCCCTGGCCTCGAGCAGTTCCTGTGCCAGCAGAGCAGTGGGGTGGCTCTGTCCCTGGGTGTGTGAGGGGGCTGCACCGGTGGGCAGCTACACCAGGGACTCAAAGCACTGAGATTTCGAACACAACACTGTGCTGTGCCAGGCCCCACTGAGCCTGGACACTGCCCGTGGTGTCACTTGACACTTTGGCACAGAGTGAGTCTCATCACCTTGCTGAATTACAGTGTCCATCTGCCTGATGCTCCCTAGATACAGGGAGCAGGAGCCTTAAGCTGTTTCTTTGTCTTTCCATATGAAGGAGAGATCATTTTCTTTTCTAGGTCACATAACAGATCAGCGACACAGCAGGGTCAGTAAAGGGAAAAAAACAAATACAAAAAAAAAAAAGCCCAGTCTCCAATCCCTAGTAACAGAGATGCAGCTTGCCTCAGGCTGTCCTTGGACTCAGTGCAGCTTTGAGGTGCAGGGATTTCTCACACTCCTCCTCAACACTTCTCAGGGAGAGACAGCATCCCCAGGATGAGCAGCTGGGATACCACAAGGCTTCCCATGGTGTGGCTCCTTGAACCTGAGAGCCAACCCTTCAATGAACACCACCCCACTCCTGCCCCAGGAGACCTTCTGCTGGGTCTGGGCTGTGGGAGAAACCCCAGACCCTCAGCACAACTCAGGCTTTGCAGTTCAGGGCTGCTGCCATGTACTCAAAAGCATCTATCTTTTGGGAGCCAGGACTTGATGTTCTGGGGTAGAGCTACCACTGAGCTTTGGGGAAGTCAAGGGGATGTTCATGTCAACATCCTCACCATTTTAGAACCCCCTGCCAGCACAAACCATCCAACACAGGAGCCCCAGCTCCTCACCAGAGCTGCTGCAGGGGCAGCCACAGCCCAACCCTAGCACCCAAAGCATCTTCCAGGGCCCAACAGGAGCACGGAGCAAACAGCAAGATTAAGTCCATTAAGGGAGGCATGTGGTGTAATCCCCGGGCACATCTGCCTGGCTCAGCCCAGGGACGCCTGGGAGGGGCTCCCGTTGGTCCAAGCAGATGCTGGCAGTGATTCCTGTCACAGCTCCAGGCTCAGACAGCCTCTGCCCCTCCAGGCTAAGGTCATCCCCTCCCCCCATTTCACAGGGCAGACCCCTACAGGACTTGGGAGTCAAGAGGGGTTTCACAAGGGGATGAGTCCATGGTAAAACAGCCCCTGAGCATGGCCAGGGCGGGCTACAGGCACTGCTGACTGCCCTAATGCTCCTCAGATGCCTCAGCTGCCATTGCGGATGAGGAACAGACAGGGAGCAAAGGGGATGGACAGGAGGGAGCGAAGGGTGCCACAGACAGGGCTTGGAAGTACTGAATGCAGCCCCCTCATACCCCCTGCACAGACCACTGCAGCCCCCTGCACTGCCCAGGGCTTGGGCTGGACCACAGCACCCTGGCCTTCTCCAGAACCCCTCCCTCCTCCTCTGTGTGCCCTCCCATGGCCACCCCAACCCAAACAGCGACACCAAAGGTGAAAATCCAAGGACTGAAAGAGCCACAGCCTCAGCTTCCCTCCTGTGGCAACTTCACCAGCCCACCCACTGCAGGAGGACCAAGGGACCGGCACCATCACTTAATTCTTTTAGAGACAACCAAAACATAAAGCATTTAACATTTAAGGTGGTAAGAATGAGTCACTTACCAGTCCAGGATGGAGGGAGCAGCCAGAGCAGGGACTTGAGGCACTAAAGCCACCACAGAACACGTGGATGATAAAGACAGTGGTGAAGGAGGACCATCAGCCATCCTACTCCCAAACATTATATATCAATTACTTAACCACCGAGTGAGGGATCCCAATCAGCACCCACTAATCACCCAGAGAGAGCAGGCCTGCTTCTTGTGATGGCTGATGAAGCAGATTCTGCTGATGGGGCACTGTCCCTGTCCTGTCCCCTCCAGCTCAGCCTCTGGGGGCTGAGCAGGATCCTTCCCACTGGCACTGCAGATGCTCCAGGATCCAGCAGCTCCTCTATCAGAGGTGATAAGGAGCTCACAAGGCCCCTCACACATGAGCTACACTTTTGTTTTGTGAGGTCTGTTTGTATTTAATTATCAAATTGCAAAGTATTTACATCAACGTTAAGAGTTTCAAAGCATCTCCACCCCCCCCACCACCCACAAAGCTGGACCATTTCAGGTTTTTTTCCCCAAAGTTTTATTATTATCCAAAAAAAAAAAAAAAAGAAAAAGACCCAAACAAACAAAAAAAAGCTAAATATTTTACTTAGACACCAAAAAAGGCAGGTGAGGGGAGCTGGGGAGAGACACAGATCCACATGTTCTCTGCATAGTAGGTTGGAGATCTTACAAAAGACTGTGTAAAAAAATTATAACAGCAGAGGAGAATGACTGGTAGGATTTGATGGGGCCCAGGAAGCCAAAAAGCATCCTCAGGTGGGGACTCCCCTCTGGAGTTTATTGGCTTAAAAAATAAACTGCCAGCCAAGACTGGGCATGGAGGGGAGGCTCTGAATCCCCGGGGCCTCCGGGCCGTGCTGGCTGCGGTGCTGAGTCCGGAGATGCTGAGTCCCACCAGAACTCCTGCACAGAACCACGATGGACACGCGGACACGAGGACACAGCCCTGTGTAGGAGGGTCCTCTGGCACTGCCTTACTGTCTTCTGCCCTGAAATGTCCCCAGCACGTCTCCTCTGGCAGAGCTTCCCCAAATCCATGGGAATTAAGCCAGCCCAGGGAATTACCATGGAGCCCGAGGCTGGAGCTGCCGGGTGAGGCCATTCCCGACCCCTGCGCCCACACCAGACCCTGCACGTGCCACACACCTGAGCTCGTGTGCCTGCCTTCTCTCTCCCCAGCTCCCACACCAAATCAGGCTTCCACACCTTACAGTTATCAGAGGTTCCTTCCAGGGATGGGGATTTTGTGGAATTCAGAGCTGTGGCACAGGTCAGCCCCTCAGAAGGGCTGCCAAGGGACACATGGTAGCCACCCGTCCCAAAGGGCTGCAAACATGGGAAGACCCAGAACATCAAGGTTTGGGGAGACCCTACCCAAACACAGAAATGCAGGCACAGCAAACCTGTAAGGAAGGGAGGGGGAAGAAAAGGCTCCAACTTTCACAATGATTTAAAAACAAATCCGATAATCCAGTTGCTGTTCTTCAAGCCAGCAGGATCTCTCCGTACAGCTGAAGAGCCTGGTCAAGCTGATTTTGAAGGTTTTACTCACTAAAAAAGGAGCCACCAACCAACCAACCAACCAGCCAAGTCCTTGGTTCATAAATAAATGTGCAGGGAGCTGTGGGAGTGAACAGGAAGCAGTGTTGTGCCCGAACCCTGCTCTGGTGGAGATTTGGGTTAGGGCTTTTGGCCACCCCTTGCCCACACTGGGCTCCCACCCAGCTTTCCTGGGACACTGGTACCATGGCAGGGACTGGTGAGAGGCAGGTTGGGTCTGTGAGGAGGCTGTGCTGGAGGGAAACCCCATCCCACAAGTGATGGGGAGGCACAGAAAGCCCCCTGCCCGAGGACTGAGAGGTGAGTGAAGCCACTGGCTCCCCTCTCTAGGTCCTTTCCCCCAGGACTCCTGCCCTGCAGCACTCCCCAAGCCCCCATCCCACCGTGGCCCAGGAGAGCATCTGAACCCCCAGGTCTTTCGGAGTGAGTGGGGCTGGTACCCGAGCAGTGAGGGGGAGAAGCTTTGTGAACCACCACAGTGAAGGGTTTCCAGCTGGATACAGCCACAGGAGGGGGAAAACCACCACATGCACTGAAATCTGGGTCTGGGAGGGTGTGGGGACCACTCGAGGGGTATGTACAAGCAGGTGCTGGGTGGAAGAGGGCGGGGACTGGGATTTGCCACGCCGAGCCTGGGAATCAGCCCCACGGGATGTGTGTGGGGCAAAGCTGGGCAGGGACAGCCACCCACCTCCAAAACACGACTGAGGACTCTGGGAGCAAGCAGGGGGCAGATGAGGATGCAGATGTGGCACAGGGCTTCCCGGGATTCTTCTCTGGGATGGTGGCATGTGGCTTGGGATGCTGCGTGGGGGCTGCAGCCTGGCAGCTGAGACATGAGGGGTGGAGGGAAGCCAGCTAAAAACGTACCAGGTCAACAAAAGCATCTGTGAAAGACGAGTATTTCCCCCCAAACACTCCCAACACCCTGAACGGCTACAAGGGCCATGCACCCAAGCCCCACAGTGGCACTGGATTAGGTGGCAGGGCCAGCCCAAGGGACTCTGCTGGTGGGACAGCTGGTGGCAGAACCAGGGGTGGAGGCTGAGGGGCACTTCACCAGGAGGTGGCTGGAAGACCTGGAGTGTGTGGTGGGAGAAAACATATCAGGGCAGCAGGGCTGGCTGCAGGCAGGGCCAGGGCTCTGCCAGCATCCCCTGTGCCATCCCAGGAGAGCAGAGACGTGTCCCCTAGGGGAACAGACACAGCTGGAAGATGTGATTGTGTGCCCAGGTGCTCCTGTGGGACCATGTCCATCACCAGAGCCAGGAGCAGTCACATTTCATGGTCCCAGAACCCGCTAGCCATTGAGGTCATGGCAAGGCCAGAGGCACCACCACAGTTCTGCTGCCATCCCAGGCTGGCACCACCACCCAGTGCATCACCCCCTTTGAACCAGGCAGGGATTGTGCCATCATGACACTGAGCTTAGCTCAGCTGGTGAGAGCATGGAGCTAATAACACCAAGGTCGTGGCATTGATCTCTGTGTGGGCCATTCACTTAAGAGCTGGACTCCATGATCCCTGTGGGTCCCTTCCAGCTCAGCATTCTGTGATTCTGATTCTGTGGTGAAATGTCTCTGCCAGCATCTCAGGAGAGCTGGAGCCATGGGGAGGACAGTGGAGAGGGTGAAGAGGCAGGGACATTTGTGCTGATTTAGAAAGGGGGTGCAGGAGACTGGGGCCACGTGTCTGAGGTGGAGTGATGCTGTCCCCCAGTCCCTCCAGGCTCACCCCAGAGCTGTAGGGGGGAAAAGTCTCCCAGAAGCCAAGTCTCTTGGCAGGAGATGCTCTGCTGGCCCTCCCAAGCCAGCTCCGCCGGCGCCCACAGGCTCCTCTCGCAGCTTCGTTCCGCACGGGCCACAAGTCTCAATGAGCAATGGGGGCACCCAGCACTTCCCCTGGCTGCATCTGCAGATAATGCCCCGTCCTGCTCCAGGGCTGCTCCACAGAAACAGCCCCTCGGTGGGGAGGCCAGCCCTCGGTGCCCTGCGGCGAGGACGGCAGCGTCCCTGGTGCCAGGAGGAACTCCGGGTCTATAGGTTCTCGCCGGGCTGGTACTGGGGCTCTGTCGAGGTGAAGTAGTCCTCCAGGAAAGCCTGCAGGTACTCGAAGGTGGGTCGCTCCTCCGGGTCCTTCCGCCAGCACTGGCACATGAGGTCGTGCAGGGACTCTGGGCACTCGGGTGGGCAGGGCATGCGGTACCCTCGCTCCACCTGATCCAGCACCTCCCGGTTCACCATCCCTGTGTGCCAGAGGAGACACAGCACTGATCACAGCCGGGCCAGGTCCTGCACCGAGCCTGTCCCGGGGGACACACCAAGGGTGCTGTGCTGGGACACGCCACAGGGGCAACCCCAGTGACACAGGGAGAGAGAGAGATCCCCCCAGCCCAAGGGCACTTGACCCTGCCAGCCTGTCACCTTGCTCGGGGCTAGAGCGGGGCAGGGTGGCTGGGACCTTGCATCCTGGCCAATCTCTGCTCACCCCAGTGGGGAGGATCCAACCTGGGAAGGGGCAGCTCAGCCCCAAACGGCAGGAGAAACTTTGCATCCCTTTGTTACTCCCCAAGGATGGCTCTGAGGGCCACGGAGTACCAGGAGTAAGCTCTGGGCATGGGCAGCTGGCACTGGGCACTGCAGTAGTGATGGGGCTTCTGCTGGTGGGTGCCAGCCCTCACCTGGGTACGGCACTCTGCCCTTGGTGGTCAGCTCGGTCAAGAGGATGCCAAAGGACCAGACGTCTGACTTGATGGTAAACCTTCCATACAGAGCTGCTTCAGGGGCCGTCCACTTGATGGGGAACTTTGCACCTGGATGGAGAGGGAGTCAGAGCCACGTGTCGGCTGCAGACACGACACACACCTCTGGGGACCAGGACACTGCTCTGGTGCCACCTGCCCGGGCACCTCGACGGGCACGCACCTTGCCGAGCGGTGTACTCGTTGTCCTCGATGAGCCGTGCCAAGCCGAAGTCGGCCACTTTGCACACCAGGTTCTCCCCCACGAGGATGTTGGCTGCCCGCAGGTCCCGGTGCACGTAGTTCATCCTCTCCACGTAGGCCATGCCGGATGCGATCTGTGGGACCAGCACACGGGGCATCAAGGCTGACAGGGTGACACGAGGGTCCCTGGGGACTGCCCGGCACCACCGAGGGGAACAGCTCTGCAGTGGCTCCCAGCCGGGGTGTGGGGACAACCAGCTGCTCAAACAACCCCATGCAGACATGGGTTTGCTGGCCAGGGAGAGCCAGTGGCAACAGGAATGGGCAAAACAATGGTCCCACACTGTAACCCAGCTCCAGGCTGAGACCCAGTGGGGGCCACAGCACCCACCCAAGCCAGGCTGCACAGTACCCACTGCCTGACCAGTGACAGCCACAACAGCCCAGTGAGGGGCTCAGGCAGCCAGTGCCCTTGGAGGGGCATGCAGGACACCTGGGGATGCATAAACCCACCTGAGCCGCCATATCCACGAGCTGGGGCAGCCGCAGGTACTTGCCCATCTCACCCTTCAGGAAGTCCAGGAGGCTCCCTGCAAGGAAGACCATGGTCAGAGCAATGTGGAGGAGTAGAGCCCCTCGGCTGCACCCTCAGTGTCCCTCCTGTGCTCACCCTTGCTCATGTACTCGGTGACAATGTAAATGGGCTCCTCTGAAACCACAGCGTAGAGCTGAACCAGCTTCTCGTGCCGGAGCTTCTTCATGACCTGGGCTTCCTGCAGGAAGGCCTCTGGGGACATGGTGCCAGGCTTCAGTGTCTTGATGGCCACCCGGGTGGTGCCATTCCAGGTCCCTGTGGCATAGCACACGTGGCTCAGGACACACGTATGGGACAGGGGGCCGTGCCCCTCACCTGCTCTCCCACCCCACTGCAGGCTCTGGGCACCTGCAGATGGCTGGGGACAGGATGCAGGTGGTGACACGGAGGGGACAGCAGGGAGGGAATGCTCCTTACCCATCCACACCTCTCCGAAGCAGCCCTGTCCCAGCTTGACCTCCAGCCGCAGCGATTCCCGGGGGATTTCCCAGGCGTCCTTGGCAAGGCCTTGGGTCTGGGGCTTGGATGTGGGGCAGACGTTGGTGAGACGGTGGCACAAACCATCAGCATGTTCTAGCACAGGAGGGGACAACAGCAAGGTGACACTTGGGCTTTTAGGCACGTGATGTCTTTACCCCACATCCCCTCAAACACCTTGGCAACCAGGACCCCAACCCTGCGCCCTAAAACCCGGGCAGCTTTTCACCAGGGGCCCACACAAGTGCTTTGGGGTTCCCCAGCCCTGCGCCCCGCCCTGCAGCGAGGGCAGGCACAGCACCCCGGGAGCTGCCAGACCCCAAGGGGACCCCACAAGGCTACCCACTGGAGTAGTAGGCCACCAGCTGCTGCAGGCTGTTGAACTGGGTGCGGGAGGTGATGTAGAAGCCGCCGCTGTCCAGCTTGCGGATCTTGTAGTGCTTCACGTTGAGGCCCTTGGCGTTGTCGAAGTCGGAGACAGAGAGGCAGTAGGCACCTGTGGGCAGGACCCAGAGGCTGGGGCAGATGTGCCACAGACAGGCACTCCCCACAGGGTCCCACCGAGGGTGGGTGTGGAGGAGGCAGGACAGGGCAGGCAGGCTCCCTGTTTCACCCAGAGGATGGGGAGCAGCTCCTGGATGCACCAGTTGGCACCTGGTGCCAGGGAGGGATGGCACGTTCCCCTGGCTACAGCCACAACATGCAATCACAACCCTCAGCTGCCCCCTGCTTGCACAGCAGCTCTGCCAAGCCTTGCCACCAGCCATGCTATGGGATGTGCTAACCAGGGGCATCGTCCCCCAGCCCCCCCTGACCTGCCAGGTCCTTCTCTCCAGCAGGAGATAGGATCAGATGGGAGGCTGGCTGAGGGGAGCTCCTGACCCACCACCCCAACATCTCGGCATCTCAGAGGGGAGCCAAGGGGCTGGTGGGCCCAATTCCCTCCTCCACAAATAACCCTTTGGGATCTTGGCTCTGCTCTGCCCACACAAGAACAACACAGGCTGCTGGGGCCACAGAGAGCAGAGATGAAGATTTGTGCTGCTGCTTCAATGAGCTGCTTCCCCCAGAATAAAATAACCAGTGGTAAGTTCAAGGCATACAAACAGAGAGGCACATCAAGGGGCTTTTCCCAAAGGTGCATTTGGAGCCAAACTAAACCACATTTTCAGGTAAGAAACAGCATCCTCAGGCAGTCAAACCTCAAAGATCACAACTCACACTTTTGGGAGATATAAAACAAGCACAAAGAGTCATCAGACTTGAAAGAAGGATTAAAGTTCATCACTCCCTCAGCCTGTCTGCCCAGGAAGCACATGTTCAAGACTTTGCCACTACAGAGGGACCAGGGAAAACAAAAAAAACCATCTACCTGGGGGTAAAAAAAAAAAAAAACAGGAAAAAAGAGCATCCTGCCAGGTGGTCCTGCTGGAGATGGAGAGGTCCCAGCTCCCACCCTGCCACGAGGCAGGCAGTGGTGGGACAGAAGTGGCCACATCCCCCCAGCCCATGGGCTCAGGGGTGTAATGGTGTGTTCAGCAGAGTCACTGGGGATGTGATGGGTGCAGCAGCACTGGCTCCCTGGGGATCAGCACTGGCAGGGGAGATCCCAGGAGGCTGCCCATGCTGAGGGGCATCGCTCAGCAACCCCAAACATCATCTCCTGTCTATGTGGTACGACCCTTTCCTCCTTCTCCCTCCCCCTGTGCCTAAGCTGGGGAACTTGGATCCCACAGAGTGACCGAGGGGACTCAAGGTACCCCCACACCCTTTAAAGAGGGTCTCTCTGAGGCCAGCCTCCCCCAGACCCTCTCACCTTTCGTGGTCTCGCTCTCCCGGACCAGGAAGGTCCCTCGGGGGTTTTCGGGGTTGAGCAGCAGCCGCTCGGACTCCCGGCGAGTGATCTTCCCAAAATACCACCTGCAGGAGCAAGGCAGCAGCTCAGCACCTGGCACCTGCCCACCCCTCCACTGCCTGCCCAGGGGCCTCAGCCCCAGCCTCCACACCGCAGCTTTTGGAGATCAGGGCCTGCATCTCTGGGCTTGGGTGCCTCAGGGTGCACCCTGTCCCCAGACAGCCCCGGCATCGCCCAAGGAGCAACCGTGCTCCACAGGCCATGGAACGCCTTCACTCCAAGAGCCTTCCCAAATGGGATCTCTGAAACTCCCCTGCCATGGGGCTTGGAACCCTCCTGCCATACCTTCTACTAGGCCAGGTTGTTCCAAGCCCCATCCAATCTGGCCATGAAAAATTCCAGGGATGGGGCAGCCACAGCTTCTGTGGGCAACCTGTGCCAGGGCCTCACCACCTCACGAGTGAAGAATTTCTTCCTAACATCTAAACTAAATCTCTCTTCTTTTAGCTTAAAACCATTCCCCCTCTCACAGGCCCCTCTGCCCATGGAAAAAGTCACTCTCTTTCTTTTTTAGGAGCCCTCTTTAAGTCCTGGAAGGGTGCAATGGAGCCTTCTCATCTCCAGGCTCTCCATAAAAGCCAGACCAGAAGCATCCACAGCCCACTGTGCCACTGCTCACCCCTCCACCACCAAGCACGCTGCACCACTGCACCTGTGGGCCTTAAAGGAAGGCTGGAAAACATTTACGGGGTTTGCACACTCAAAGGGGAAAACAGCAAAGAGGAAAACCCAGAGGGCTTGGAGGCTTCCCCAGGAGCGTGGCAGGGGCAGGGGGAACCCTCGGGGTGGGTTTGCTATCGCTCTCTTTAAACTGTCTAAAAGACGGCAATTACTCTTCAGCCTGGATGGAGTCTGAGGGCGCGACATAGTTACTGGGGATGTAGCCCGTCTGTCCTGTAGTGAGGGAATGAGCCAGCCACCAGTCACCTTCCCTGCAAGAGAACCAAAACACACTCAGTGTGAAGCCAGGAGCCCCCCCCGCCGGCCCCTCGCCCACCCACAGGCACGGGGGAGGACGAGCCAGCGCCGAGCCCTGCTGGGAAGGGGTACAGCCCTGCAGCCCCAGCCCCACAGCCCTGCAGCCCCCAGCCCCACAGCCAGACCCCAATCAGGGCTCCTGCTGCCAGCCCCTGCCCATGGCTCTGTCTGGGTGAGCTCCTGTTAGTGGGGCCACCCATTTGCACATGGCATGAACTTTAAACTTCAACTGGGCAGGGTAGTCCGGGAGCCAGAACACCTTCAGAGCCACCTGAACGGGAACGGGGTCTGGCTGGAGGTTGTGAGGCACGGGGGTCCCAGCAGCAGGACAGTGGGGAGCAGCAGGCGAGGGGAGGGAGGGGAAACAGGGAGAAGCAACAGAAGGATGGCAGCGCTTAACAAAGGCACCAGGAAAACCCAAGAGAGTTAGTTAAATACACACTGCAGGAAAGCACAGGAAGGCGGTGGGGTTTGGGCAGCGGGGAGCCCTGCCCAGCAGCGATGCCCAGCCTGGGTGCAGTGGGATCTGTCCAGCCTGGGTGCCCTGCTCACAGCCCCAGGACGGGCACCCCACATGGCTGCAGCCCTGACCGTGAGCTTCGTGTAGCCCCAGCAAGGGCAGGTTCTGCCTGCACAACCATGAGTGTGACTCCCTGTCCCCAAAATCCGGGGGCTTAACCACCATTCATCCCTCCAGCCCCAGGATCAGCGGCCCCAGGCACATCCTCGGGAGCTGGAGGGCACGGGAGTCTCCTCCCCACTCTGCCCTCCTGCCCACCAGCTCCTGCTCCAGACAGGGCTGCAGAGGACAATAAATAGAGAGGAACAAGAGGACGGCAGGAGGCGGCTTCCCCTTCCTGCAGACAGCAGGGCTCTTCCTCCCACCACCTGCATCTTCTTGCCCATCAAAGACGGAGTCACCAAACTCATCCTGATCACAAGGGAGACGAGGCTACGGGAAAGCTGCAGATCCGTGGGAACAGCCCCGTAAGGATGCAGGAACTTGGCAGGACAACCTCCACAAACACGTTACAGAAAAACACCAATAACCTCAGTCACCACTGCAAGGCTCATCAGACCACATCCAGACCCATCCCTGACCCTGCAGATGTGGAAACTCCATCCTCACTCCAGACACACCAGCAGCTTGTGCTTTCCCCAGCTAAACTGCTTCGAAGTGGCCAGGAGAGCCCAGACACGGCCCCCAGCTCCCCACAGCGGTGTCAGTGGGGCAGGGGACAGCAGGGACCTTCCAGGCCTCTCCTGCCACCCCCAGAGCTGGGCTCTGCCCCTGGGCTAGCCTTGCAGCAGCCCTGGATGGCACCTGAGCCTCTCCCAGCCCCAGCACAGCACATGGCAGGCAGCTGGGGCTCCCCATCCGGGGCTGCTGCCCCAGTCACCTTTACTGAGGGGCTCTCAAACGGACCAAAAGCTGGTTGGGCTCTTTCCCACAGGACCAGAGTAAACATCTGCTTGAAAAATGCCCAGCTTTTGACTTGTGGCTTTATTCCAGCTTGGGCTGCAAGGCTGCAAGCTGGGAATTCAGCAAAAACAAGCTATTCCAAAAATATCTCAGTGGGGAAAAAAATAATAATAATCATCATCATCAAAACAAAGCATTTCAACAATTCCCTGCACAATCTTACCCAAAATATCCCACCACATCCCTGCTGGCTGCCAGCTGGCTGGGAGGAGACCTCCTCCCACTGGAAATGGGACCATGAGGGCCTTTCTGCACTGGGGGGGGATTGGTAGGCTGACCTGGAGCAGGGATCTGAGTGATGTGGAAGCTTCTCCTCCCAACCCTGTGCAACCCTGGTGAAGTCAGAGCAGCCAAAACCTGCCACCACCCTGCAAAGCCACCATGGTCGTGGGCTCCTGCTGTGCCCAGGACCTGCCAGCCCCTCCCAGACTGACTCTCCCCACAGCTGAATGCCCTGCCAGGGAGCCGAGAGGAAGGGGACATCACACACCCGCCTGCTGCTGTCCCCAAAGCCTGGCAGCCTGAGCTGTTCCCAGACTGTCCAAGCATCTCTGGGAACCCAATGAGAAGAGTGATTCACCCCCTGAGCACTGCACAAACTGCCCAGCTTCCTCCACTGCCTCTCTCCCTGTGGACATCCCACCCACACAGACACTGGGAAGGTCAGCAGTACATCCTGCACCCTCCACCAAAGGGCTGTGTCACCAAACAAAGCCCTTTTGCCCCCCAGGATGCTGCAGAGCCCAGCACAGCTTGACCCTTCCCTCTGACCAAGCCTTTGACAAATAGCAGCAGATAAAAAAAGTGTGGAAATCTCAGAAGGGATAGGAGGTGTGAGGAAAAAACCCACATATATGGGCCTGATCTGGACCTCCGTGGGCAGAGCTCACTTTGCAACAGCCCAAACCAGAACTCAAGCTCAGGGCTCTTACACTGCTGAGGCTGAAAGCAAGAAGCACCAAACCCCCCAAATTCAGGCTTTTCCTGCAGCACTGAAGCCCTGGACTTCGTGGATGAAACAAATCACCGTTAATAAACAGCACTGGAACAATGAGAACAAGGATCAGATTGAAAACATGTTTGTGCAACACTGCCCGAGCATTGCAGGAGAAATCTGACTCCTGGGGTGCTCCCTCGTCTTTCCACCCTTTGACTTTGCAAAGCTGTTTCGGGTGCCCAGGTTGGAAGGCAGCAGTGGAGGGGAAGGGGAGCTGCAGACCCTGGGGACCCTGTGATAGCTCCATGGCTGGGGACACTGGCTCTGCCAGCCAGGCTCCAGACCATGTGTGCCACATGTCAGGACACAGACCACACATGGATTTAATAATACAGGATCATGTTTAGGAGCATCTTCCAGCTGGCCATGCTGCCCTGCTCTATGCAGCATGGGATGTGTGTGCTGTGGTGACCAGGACGGGGAGCAAGCCAGGGGGTCAGACCCCTAAGGAAGTGCTTGAGTCCCCAGAGTCGCTCATGAAAAAATAAAAGTATAATTAAAAAATTTTAAAAAAAAAGAAAGCAAAAAAAGGCCAGGAGGAAGTGGAGAGCCAGCTAGAAAGGAACTGCAGAGGGGAGCCAGGCACAGACAAAGAAAGGGACCAGGTTCATTGCTCCCAGGTGCAGACACAGCTCTGGATAGAACAGTTCCCCAGTATGGGAAATGACTCCCCACTCTGTCCCAGTCACTCAAGAACAAACCCAACTGACCAAAAAACCATTGGGAAACCATCTCCTCCCAGCCCTGTTCCAACCAACCTGCTCTAGCATGGGCAGCAGATGGGTTTTGATCATTGAGATCATTAACAAGTAACAGTAATAATGTGCCATACACACCTGACATCCACTTTCCTCCTAAATGACAGCATGGAGGGAGAGAAAGAAGAGTCAAGAGAGAAGGTGAGACCAGAGACAGCTTGCAAGCACAGGGGAAAGCACCCGTGAAGTTGAGGAATGTGTCCAGGCAAACGAGAGGGAGCTGAGCACGGATGGGGACAGGGGACCGGTGGGGACATGGCCCTGTGCTGGAGGGCACAGACTGGCCAGCAAGCTGAGGAGGCAGCTTGGTGATGAGGCTGCCAGGCCACAGTGACCAGCAGCAGGGCTGGGAGGACAAGGAATCAGGCAAATGATCGCTTCTAGCATCAGCGTCCTTGGACAAGTCACTGTGTCCGTGCACATTTTGGTGCCTCTCTCTCAGCCCCCATCCCTGGGAGAGCTGGCCCTGCTGGGCTGGGATGGGGGCTCTGCAGGAGGGACAGAGATGGCAGCTCACCACATGGGCTTGGCTGCAGGGACAGGGACAGGGACACTCACGTGTTGTTGACAATCTGCAGGCGCTCTCCTTTCTTGAAGGACAAGTCCGTTTCAGTCCGGGACTCGTAGTCATAGAGGGCCACGAAGGTGGTGACTCCACCTGCGACACAGAGCTCTCAGGAGGGGCACAGCCACGGCTGCTGCTGCACAACAGCACTGGCTGCCCCTCACCAGGGACCCTCCTCTCCCACCGTCCTCCCACGGGCCAACAACACAGATCTGCGTCTCCCCCAGCACAGAGCCCCTCAAAAGCAGAAGACCCCAAGAAGCCGGACCCAAGCCCACAAAGACCCAAGTGAGACCCTGCCCACCCTGCCGAGCCCCAGCCCACACCAACCAGCCAGCGCCCCGGCACGCTGCGGAGAGGTGACCGTGTCAGAGCTGTTGAAGCCTCCAAAGAGCTTGGACTCGGCAGCCACGGTGCCGAAGCAGCGGCTGGGGGTGCGGTGGGCGTCGGGGGCCGCCGCCTTGCTGGGCGTCTGCGAGGCCGGGTACCCCCCGTGGTGGGTGTTGTCGGTGGGCTCCAGGCTGCGCCGGCGCTGGCTCGGGTCTTTGGGCTTGCTCTTGCTGCTCCCCATGGTCCCGGGCTGGAGGAGACACACACACCTCTGTGATTATCGGTACAATTATTGCTGTTACAAATATTAAGCAGGAGTTGCTCCCCAGGGCCTGGGTGACAGATGCCTGCCCACCAGGAAACGAAACAACCTCTGGAGTCTGTTCAAGCGTCAGCTGCCGGGAGGTCTGGCCATCCTGCCCTTGCCCTGGGATAGCCTCACCCCTCCATGGCTCTGAGCCACCTCCTGCGTGGCCACAGCAGCCAGTGCCACACCAGGAGTGGAGCTGCCAGGACATGCTCTGGGAGCAGTGGAAGCACGCTTAGCCCTGGGAATGTGGAGCGAGGATGCTGGGCATGGAGCCTGGACCTGTGGTCGGGAGTGCAGCAGCTCCAGAGCCAGGCACCCACTGTGGGATGTAGCTCAGTCCCACCCAGACACGTTTCCTCCTGCATGAGAGTTTGTACCAGGGCATGGACAGGAGAAAACAAGACACAGACAAATGCCCACGTGCTCGGCTTACTGTGACAGCAGAAATTTGGAGAACCCACAGCTGCATCACTGCTGGCCCAGGATGGGGATTTAATTGCTGAACATGTACCTTTGAAGTCCAAAACATGCAGCAAACAGGATAAAAGCCTAAATCAGGAGCAGTTTCAGGCAGTTTGCAGCTAAGGACCAAGGGATCTCGGCTTTATATATAGTCAAATAGTTTATATATAGCCTTCCTTTCCACTCAAGATCACACTCTATAAATACCTTCAAGGTAATGATATAAATGAAGGAAGGGAATTATTTGCAGTCTCCAAAGATGGCAGGATACCCAGCAGTGTCCTGAAGCTATGGAAGGAAATATTTAGGCTATATCATGCATGGCAGGAGGGAAAAGGGAGGTGGAGACAACCAGGGAGGAGACTATCTCTGATAAGAACACAGAAGCAGGGAAGCAGTAGAGGAGGCAGCCACTGCCTGCGGGGTGTGGACCTGGACACAGCCACCAGTGAGGCTTTGCCAGGGGTTTTTCTAGCCCAGCTTTGGAGAGAATTCGGGCCAGGCCCCCACAAGCAGGGTCAGAGCCATGGGCAGCCCCTGCAGCCTGCACAGCCCCAGAGTCAGTGGGGCAGAACCCCTGGCACCTGCCATGGGGAAGCTTAGGGGTGCCAGGCACAAGCTCTGCTCCCCTCCCAGCTCCCCTCCCCACAGAGAGTGCTTTGCCTGATGCTTGGGGCTTATTTCTCAGAAGACACAACTTCCATCCACTCTTTTCCAGCTCCCACATTGTACAAGCAAAGTACACAAGCAGTGTCCTGGTGTGACCCGTGCTGGCAGGATCAAACCCTGCCAGGGTCTGGGAACTGGAACAAACTGATTTTTTAGGAATTGGAATAAACTGCTAGGTATGACTCCAGCAGCCACTCCAGTGGGGAGAAGAGCTGTCCTTCCTCCTATGGATGTAGGCAACAAGGAAGGGCCAATGCCTCTATCTGCCGTGGGACCCAGCCCATGTCTGTCTGTCCTGGGCTTTGGGGTTCTCGAAGCAAAGAAAGGTCAAATATAATATAATATAAATATAAGCTTTGCACTGGCAAACTGTCCCTGCAGCAATCCAGAGGCAGATCCTGCAGCCAAGGAGGAGGGCGTCTGTCCCATAAATAAATGCCATTTAAAAGCCTGGTGCAGAGGATACTAAAGCAGAACTGCAGGGGAAAGCAGGACCTCAGAAGCAATGAGAAGAAGCCCTCAGCACCCCATCCCCAGCAAGCCCCCTCTCACCTCTGCCCAGAGCTCTGGCACCCGCTGGCGCTCCCGGGATGGCAGCAGCACTGCAGGGAGGAAAGTGGGGGCACGGCAGGGCTGTGACCGTGTGGCTTGTGACTGCCCACGCGACCCTGAGCAAGGGCAGAGCTGCTCAGAGTTTCCCCTGGAAACAGCACTTCCCCAGGCAGGAAAACTCCCTGGCCGGGGCAGCAGGTTGAGCAGCACTTCGGGGACACTGAGCACATCCAGCCTGGGTCAGCAGAGGATTTATCAACGTGCTGAGAAAATCGGAGTATAAAATGCTCAATATGCCCACAGAGTAGCCAGGACCAGAGCACAGAGATGGGAGAGTTTATACCCCAGGCACTTCCCCAAAGCAGGAGAGTCCTTGCCTTCACACCCGTGAGCCTGTGGGCACAGGATGTGCATCTTCCAGGCATGTCCTGCACCATCCCCACGCTGAGTCCCAGGTAACTCAGCCCACAGGACCACATGGCTTTAGCCCTGTTGCTCTCCACCTGTCCCCAGGGAGGAGAGGGGTCCTGGGAAATACCCTGTGACCCCAACATCCCCCTTGGCAGCCAGGGAGGAAAGGGTGCACATTCCCCTGGGAGAATGCAGGGTTGTGCAAGAGCCTGGCAAAGGAGTGATTAATGACAGCAGGAATGTGCTGTGCACTCAGGTCCTGGGAGGCACCAGGGAGAGACCCCCCTGCCTCCAGCAGAGCCACTGATGAACCCCCCCAGAGTCAAAGGGCAGAGAAGGAAGGGGATGAACCCACCACCCAACGTGGCAGCTCCCAGCACGCCCCAGCAGCACCACTGGGAGCTGTGGGACAGCACTACAGCAGCCAGACTGCAGAAAATACCCATCGCCAGCAGCTGTGCTGTGTTTATGTCTAATAAATTTATGTCTAATAAATACAGCATTTCTACGTGCAGCAGGCTGCAGGGATGCTCAGCACCAGCAGCATCCAGCCAGGGCAGTCTGTCCAATGCCCAGTGGGATATTTCCCTGCTCCCATGCTTTGCACAGCCGACAGTGCTGGGATGGGGGGCTCAGCATCCCTCCCCACCCCGGCCAGTGCCTCGGTTTCCAGCAGGGCTTCCCTACTCCCCCTCCCAAGGCTGGTGTGGCAGGCTGGAGCACGGCCAGCATTCCCGTGCTCGCTCTGACTGATGCGAGGCGGCGGACGAGGCAGCTTTCCTGCGGCGGGGATTAGCACCCCGGGCACGTCGCAGCCTGCAGGAACTCCCTGCTTTCCGCTCCGGGGGTCAGCGCCAGCAGCACATCGTGAACCACCACCGTGATGAGTTGCGAGGCCTCAGCTGTGCCCCCCGGGCCGGCCACGCCTCGGCGAACACCGAGGCAAGGCTCAGCCTTTGGTACCCGCACCCAGCCCAACCGGAGATGCTCGAGTGCCAAATCGGCTGTGGCAGCGCACCCAGAGCCCCAGATCCGAGCCCCCCCGGCAGGTAAAGCAGCCTGGTTCCCCCTCCCCGGGCCACCGGAGATGCCTTACCAGCGCGTTGGGCTACAGCCTCGCCGCGGGGTGGGGAGGTGCCGCCGGCGAACTCAGCTCAGCTCCCGCCGCAGCCTGCGAGACAAGAGAACGTCAGCGCCCGAGCAGCACCCGCGTCCCGGCCCTGCCCTCTGCCCCCACGCCACGGTCCGGTGCCCAGGACTGCCGCTGCCCTCCTCCTCCTCCTCCTCCTCCTCCGCCGCCTCCTCGCCACCCCTCCAGCGCGGGGCCGGCAGCTCACACCGCCCGCTCTGATCCCTCATGTGTGAAGAGGGGACGATTCTCTGCTCCACTTCGTCAAACCCACCGGGGACGGCAGAGGAGGCGGCTGCAGCCGCCCCGGGCGATGTCCCAGGATGGGAGAGGAGCGCGGACACCCCCAGCCCACCGAGTGTTTTTTTCGGGAGAGAAACAAAGCCAGTTCCTCCAGACACACCAGCATTTTCAGCCCTGCTGCTCCATCTCTGGACAGCCGGGACCTGCGGCGGGGAGGGTCGGCTACCAACTGGGGACCTTGTCCCCTGGCATGTCACCTTCTCCACTCCCAAAAGCACAGACAGATGCTACCGTATGAACCATGCACAAGGTCTGGGAGGCAACTTGTGCTGTTGAAGCCCTGACTCAGCCAAAAAAAAAATGACATTTTAGCTAAATTTTTCTAAAAGGGCAGTTTTCTGTCACAAAATCGTGCGATGGTGGGACACTTCTCAGCAGCAGTGGCTTGGGGCAGAGCTTCAAGTGGAAAGCAGACCAGAGCATGGCCCCACAGTCAGGGCTGCCCTTCACCTGGCTCTGCCACCCCTTCCCATCCCCCAGATCCTGCAGGAACTGCCCCTACTCCCTCCTATCCTACCAAAAGCAAAGTCTCTCTCCAACCAGCCCTGCCCACCCAGGGATGGGTAGAGGCTTCAGCTGCCCCCAAAGGGCTCCTGTTCCTGCAGGGAGGGGATTTAGCACCCACAGCTTCACAGGCCAAGCATCATCCCAACAGGCTCCTGTCCCAGCTGGAGCCCAGGTTTCACACCTCATCCAATGGGAACATCCCAGTGGCTGCCATGCAGGGGCCATGCCCCACCGCAGGTTTGTTTTGATGGCCTCCCCTTCCCGCTGCTAATAAGTTTTGTCACTATTTTTAGTGCATTTGATTAGGATAATGAGCGGGAGCTGACTGACAGCTCTTAAAGACGTTGAATGGTTTGTAATTTGTACTTGACGAATACTCGCTGGCGATGATTGCACAGCGGGATGGAGGGGGAAAGCTGCAGCCCCAACTCCAGGCTGCAGCACATACAAATAAGGCTGTGCCAGCACACACGTGGTGCTCGTGTCCCCAGCACCCAGGCACGCTGTGACACGGGCTCCCAGGCACACACACGGCCAAAAAAGCCACGAGGGAAACCCAAATAGGCCTGAGCTTGGGGCCAGCCACACATCAGGGGGTGAGGGGCCAGGTCCTGTGACAGGGAAGTGAGAGGTCCCCATGTGGGTGGATTCACTTGCAACCTCACACTGCCAGGCCTGGGTGTTTGGTGGCTGAAAGTGGCTGCTGTGGTAGCAGCCTGGCACATCTGGCACATCTGGCACATCTGGCACAGCCCAGCATAGTCCTGCTGCTCTCTTGGCAGAGGTGCTGCCATCCTCACCAGCATATCACTGGCACAGCCATGGCCAGGCTCAGGCAACCAGCCAGCGCTGCCATCCCCACCTATCCGTGAGCTGCTGGCTCTGCATTCAGGGTCTTCCTGGCCCCCCAACCCTCCCCAGCTGGAGGGGAGGATGCCAGGGCTGAGCCCAGCCACCCACCCTGCCCGGGGCAGAGGCTGCAGCAAGGAGAGGCCAACCCCACCCTCCCCTCTCCAAAAGCAATTAAAAATGAGGCACACTTGGCTGCACAACTCAGCTCGGATCAGATCACGGCACGCGAGATGGTGGCGTCCCCATCCTCGCCCGCCGGCGCTGGGAACGCTGCCCGGACTGCCCAGCATCCCCACACCTCTGACACCCAGGGTCAATCCCCCAAAAATCAACTGGCAAGTTGGGTGGCAGGAAAGGCCCCATGCTCTGCCCTACCTCCCTGTGGCAGAGATGCTCTCGCAAAGGCAGCATTGAGGAGATCCAGTCGCCCTCCCGCTGCTTTCCACAGCTCCCGGATCGCTCAAGGATACAAGGCCGTGGTGCGGGCAGGCTGACAGCGGGCTGGCAGCGAGGGGAAGCGATCTTATCGTCCTTGCAAAGACACTAACAAAAGACACTGATTGGGAGCAGACAAAACACAGCAGAGGCAGAAACCTTGGGAAATGCCGCGACAGGCCGGGCCCAATACCAGACACCAAGCCTTGGGGAGGGAGACATCTCTGGCGAAACAGGCTCTGTCCTTGGGGCTGCTCTGGGGCCGGGTGGGTGCTGAGAGGCACTGCTGGCAGGAGGGATGGGGGGTGATGAGGGAGAGCTGGGCGAGGGGCTGGGGGCAGCAGCACCCACCCGCTGATGGAGGGAGTTGAGCTGAGCCGTGTCCTCGGCTCACAGAGCCCCGGCGAGATTAATCACGGCAACTGTCTCACACCAGACTGAAAAATGAAGCGTGCGGGACGGCGGGCGAGACAAAGCAGCCTGGCGGCACCCAGCCCATGGCAGCAGGCACTGGGGACAGGGAGAGGCGGAGAGCGGCGATCCCAAACCCATCTGACCCCTCGCTCCCCCTTGCACACAGCCAACCCCACCCCAGCAGCACCGGGGTCCAGCTGGGGCAGATCCGTGCAGGACAAATGGAAACCACATACGAGGTGTGTCATTTACACCAGAGGTCCTACTTGGGGGTGCTTTGCTGTCCCCTGTGTCCCCCTGCATGGGTGGCACAGTGACAGGTGACAGCAGTGCTGCCCCTGCCATTGTGGCCTCCAGACAGCGGGGTCAGTGCCAAGGGTGATGAATCACCACGGCTTGGTCAGTGCTGCTACAACCACATCGAGATGGTCCTTTAACCATCTTCAGGTGGCCCCCCATCGCCCTCCCCGCATCACCCCCTACTCCCTCCCCACATTTCGGTAGGAGACGCAGCTCTGGACAAGCTCGCACAGCAGTTTCCCCCTCGCTCCCAGGGGATGCTCCTGGGTTTGCCCTTTCCCACGGCAGCAGCACGGCCTGGGGCCAGCGAGCAGCAGCACAGCCCCCAGTGCTTTGGGGTGCCCCAGCTCAGCCCACCATCCCTCCCCTCTGTCACCCAAGTACAGCCCATCACCACGTCCCCCGTGGAAAAAGTGATTCCTGTCCCCTGTCCCATGCCACCAGGCTTTGCTCGGTACAAGAAGGGGAACACAAGCACATCTCTGCCAGGCAGGGACCAGCCCTATTACAAGTTCCACGTGGTGTGAAAAGTGGGAGCTGCTCCCCCAGCCCTGCAAAGTGAGGTGTGATGCTGCAGACCCTGT